CATGTGCTCCTATGCATCAGCACTCCTGTGTCCCTTGGATAAATTCCTAGCAGTGCTATTGCTGGGTCATAGGGGAGTTCTAGTGTTAGTTTTTTGAGGAACCTCCCCACTGTTTTCCGGAGGGCCTGCACCAGTTTACATTCCCACCAACAGTGTAGGTGGGTGCCCGTTTCTCCACATCCTCACCAGCATCTAGAGTTCTCTGATTTGCTCATTTTAGCCACTCTGAGTGGCGGGAGGTGGTATCTCCGTGTGGCTTTGATTTGTATTTCCCTGATGAGGAGGGATGCTGAGCATTGTTTCATGTGTCTGTTGGCCATCTGGATGTCCTCCTTGGAGAAATGTCTGTTCACATCATCTGCCCATTTCTTCACTGGATTGTTTGTTTTTCGGGTGTGGAGTTTGGTGAGTTCCTTATAGATTTTGGATATTAACCTTTTATCTGATATGTCATTTGCAACTACCTTTTCCCATTCCATCGGTTGCCTATTAGTTTTATGGGTTGTTTCCTTTGCCTGCAATGACAGAATCTAACCGTGCCGCCTCCCTATGGCGTTACCCCACTGAACTAGGTTGGGAGAAAGGACCCGATCAATTTAACGTTGGAAAACAGAGTTTGGATTGTCAGACCAAAGATGAAAAGGATTGTATGGGAACCCTGTACTGTGTCACTGTGTTTCTCGTGGGGCTAGAGATCAACAGCTCTGAAACTGCTCTATGAGCATCCTAGGATTGAGCACACACATGACTGCAGATGTGGGAGCTGGGCTCCTCCTTTTCAAAGGAAGACGTTGCACATAAGCAAGGCAGAAAGGCAAAGATAAATTATGCATTGCTGCCTTATGCATTGCTGTGCCAGTATGAACTAATGCTTATTTTAAGAGAAATAGGTGATAGATGAGTAGGTGGGTGGGTGGGTGGATGGATGGATGGATGGATATAGATATCGGAGAGAGAAATCAGCATATAGATGGATTAGTATACTGCATATATTTCCTCACTCTGTCCTCTGTGAGGACCTAGAAGTAGAAATACCCCAATAGCAACTCACACATCTACCACCTAGATCTTAGTTTCTAAATAAAAGGAGTTAGAACTCTCTGGAGAAGTTCTACGGTAGGGGCTGATTCTATGGTAGGGGTAAGGAAAATGCAAGATGGACTTGGGCCTCTGGTTGGTGCTGGAAATCAAGGAAGTCAAACAAACAAACAAAATGTAGGAACGTGTCACAAGAACACAGGCGCTAACTTGAAAGAACTCCCAGTGGACAAAATGAAAAAATTTTAGCAACACAATAAATAATGCCAGTACTAGATTTTAACCTAGTGGATAAAATAAATAACCATGAACCTGTGCTGATACAAAAATAAATAAATGGCAGAGAAGAGACAAATCTTCCTTACAGAACAATTCCAATAAATAAATGTCTGAGGAAAGAACTAGAAAATCACCATGGGACCACCTCAGCAATCATTGTTGCGGTCAAGATCCCTCCAAGGATGATGCTAAACTGAGCGGGCAAAATTTTAAGGAGAAACGGGATATTTGCATAGCCTGGAAATATCTCCCCCAAATAGGTATTCATTAATGTGATGATTTTAACTACGTCCTCAAATTCTTTGCTGCTCCTCCCTAGAGAAGGGAGAGCTTGATTCACCTCTCCTTGACCATGAGCTGGACTAGTGCCTCAGTTCCAACAAACAGAGTATGGAACACAAAGACTAGCATCTTTCTGGTGGAGAAACCCAGCAGACATCCCCTCTGCTGTGTGTTCAAGATTAAGATCAGCAGTGATTAGTTGCGGCTCTATCACGTTACCCCAGATGATGCCTTGAGGGCCCATCAGCTCTGTTGTATTTTCATAATACATAACCCCAGACTAATCATGAGAAAACATCAGACAAACGTCTGATGGACACGCGACAGAGCATTCAGCTAGTATTCAAAATGTTCAAGGTCAAGCAAAGTGAGAATAGACTGAGAGACTATTCCTAAGGAGACGTGACAACTGGATGCGATGTGGTAGTGTGGACTGAGTGTGGACGGGGTTCTGGAACAGAGGAAGGACATTAATCAAAAATTGTTGCAATCCAAATGAAGAATATGGTTTAATAGTGTATCGGTGTTCATTCCTTACTTCTGGTAAATGCACCGTAGTTATACAAGATGTTCACGTTGGGGCACCCGAGGTGAAGGGTAGAGAGGGACCGTCTGCACCACCTTACAACTCTTCTGTAAATCTAAAATTCTTTCAAAATAAAGAGGCTTTTTTAATGGGTAAATCATATTCTACTGTTCAGGGCCCAGCTAGGTTCCTTCCTCTAGAACAATTTTCCCTGATCTCCCCTGTGCACTGGGTTTGCTCTTCCTCATTCCCCCCAAGCCTATCCCCTCTTCTGCTCTGAGGCCCAAGCATGTAAGACCTGAAGGGTTCTGGGGTGCCTGGGGGGCTTAGTCGGTTAAGCGTCCGACTTTCGCTTAGGTCATGATCTCACGGTTCGTGGGTTCGAGCCCCACGTCGGGCTCTGTGCTGACTGCCAGCTCAGAGCCTGGAGCCTGTTTCAGAGTCTGTATCTCCCTCTCTCTCTGACCCTCCCCTGCTCACGCTGTCTCTCTCTCTCCTAGAAATAAATAAAAATATTAAAAAAAAAAAAAAAAAAAAGACCTGAAGGGTTCTGCTTCTTTTCTGGGATCCGATGAGCCTTCCAAAGTACACTGCGAGCTTCCAGACATCAGAGCCTGACTCCCACATGTTGGAGATCTTCACAGTCTGTGCCTTCGATGGGGAGGGGAGGACTGAGGACTCCCAGGCAGGCTCGGGCCTGGGGTGGGGGGCTGTGGGTGGCATTAGGGGAGAGCACTGGATGAAGTCCTTGTCTATAGAGCTTGTCACCTCCACTAGTTTATAAAGGGGGCTGGGGCAGCGGTCTCTCCTGGAGAGTGAACTGAGGGAGGGGAGATAACTTACTGGATTTGCCCACCAGACTCCCATGGACAAGAGGGTTAGCTGGGACCCCATCCTATATGGGCAAAGATGGCGTTAAGTGTGCATGAGCCCCAAGTACTGAAGCACCAAGAGCTGAAGCACTAGGTGCCCTGGCACCTTTGCTGTGGGACCCACTCTGCCACTTGTCCCAAGCCCAGACGCATCAGCGCCCATCTACACTGAGGGCAGCAGGAGCACATGGCTCAGCAGTGGCAGCATCTGGAGTCCCTGCAGAGCATAAGGACCCATGAGCTACAGCAGGGCCTACGAGAGGCAGCAGCTGCCACAGGGGGTCCCTGCCCCCTGCCCCAGAGCACTGTGTGGGCTCACATTGGTCAAGAGCAGCAGCCAAGACTACCTCAGGTCAAGGGGCTCCTCCTCGTTGCCCACTGATGGGGAGCCAAGGCCCAGGACAGGTTGTTGTAGGCACTTTTGAGGCCCTGGGGGAGGGGCAGTTTACAGGTGGGGTAGTCTGAGGACAGGAGAGGGTCATGGAGAAGCTGACACCCAGAGTCTGCCCCAGCCTGCTCCTCCTGCCCTCCCCACACCTCTCTGGAAGGTCTCTTCCAGACCCATGGCTTTGGTTATGACCCACTAATGCAGGGTCTCCACAGAGGCTCCCCCCAATCCAGGTCCACTTATCCCTCCAGCCACTGAACTCCTCCCCCACATATCCCAAGGGCACTTCCGGCTCCAGTCCCAAAGAGAGCTCAGGTCCCTCTTCAAAGCTTCCAGTGCCCATTGTCCCTTCCATGACTGGCAGCCAACATCCACTGTCATCCTTGGCTCTCCCTCACTCTCACCCCCACATCCATCCCTCAGAAATCCTACCTCCTTAATCTATCACCACCTCCCTAGTCCAAGGCAGGCACATGGGAAGTGCTCAGTGAATGTATGTGGCATGGGTGGATGGATCTATGAATGGGATGGGGTATAGGGATTGGTGTATTGATGGATGGATGGATGGATGGATGGATGGATGGATGGATGGATGGATGGATGGATGGATGGATGGATGGATGGATGGATGGATGGATGGATGGATGGATGGATGGATGGATGGATGGATGGATGGATGGATGGATGGATGGATGGATGGATGGATGGATGGATGGATGGATGGATGGATGGATGGATGGATGGATGGATGGATGGATGGATGGATGGATGGATGGATGGATGGATGGATGGATGGATGGATGGACGGATGGATAGATGGATGGATGGACAGATGGGTGCTTGGATGGATGGATGGATGGATGGATGGACGGATGGATAGATGGATAGATGGGTGTGTGGATGGATGGGTGGATGGATAGTGGATGGATGGATGGATGGATGGACGGACAGATGGGTGTGTGGATGGATGGGTAGATGGATGTGTAGATGGATGGATAGTGGATGGATGGATAGATGGATGGATGGATGGGTGGATGGATGTGTAGATGGATGGATAGTGGATGGATGGATGGATGGATGGATAGATGGGTGTGTGGATGGATAGGTGGATGGATAGTGAATGGATGGATGGATGGATGGATGGATGGACAGATGGGTGTGTGGATGGACAGGTGGATGGATGGGTAGAGGGATGGAAGGAAATAGTGGACTTTTACAACTTAGGTAGTTTTGCATCTGGCATCATTATACCTATCAGTGCTTTTCTTGGGCAATACCTGGACACTTGGTTTGGTAGGGACTGGGCTGAACATACTGCTTCCGGGAAGGGCCCAGAGCTGAGACCATTCCAAGGTACTCTGTTTTGACGAATCAGGCAGTCAAAATACTTGACCACGATAAGGCACAGAACAGCCCATGCCAACCGCCTCTGAGACTGGCCCATACCGTAACAAGAAGGATGTCTGTTGCCGCCACGTGGAAGGTCTTTGGCCTCTGAACTCCATCCAGGACTCAGGACTGGGCGGAGAGGATGCCACTCCTCCCCCCATCCCCACCCCGTGCCTCACACGACACCGAAAGACACACACAGGAGGAGGCGCCACATGGACATCTCTTTCTTTTTACAAAGACTTTATTGTCTGACATGCTTGACAAAAAAAATTACAGCCACAATCAAGTTATGCCAAAATGATTGAGGAGCACGCCATCATCTTTCATACCTCAAGGACTTTTAATGAATTTTCTTTCAAAGTAACAGCTGCCTTCATAACTTTTCTTTTCCACATAAAAATACACCATATTCTGAAGATACCTTAGGAAAAAATTGTTTTCAAGTTTATAGTGCTTGGTCCGCATAGATATCCGGTAGAGGTGTCTGAAAGGGCCCTGGGTCTTCTTCTCCCCGCGCGTGCGCACACACCATGCATCTGGGGCTCCCGAGAGACCTTGTAAACATCCTCGGCCGCCAGGAACCACTCGGCCGAATGGGCTCCTGAAGTCCCGCCCCCCCACCGAGCACAGCGGGTCCCGGTCACGGCGGTGGTGCTGTCAGCCTCCCCTCGTGCACAGTGCCTGTCGCCCCGTGGGGAGCCCCACGTGAGGAGGGAAGGAGTCGCAGTCTCCTAGGCGGCTGGGGTGCTGGGCTCAGAGACTGAGACCCCTCGGGGCTCCAGGGGCTCGCTCTCTAAACAAGCCGCAGAGGTCCGGAACCAGACCCTTAAAAAATAAGTGCCTTACAGGGGTGGCGGTTTGGGTGTTGGCAAAGCAGAGGCTATGAAGCCAGAGACCAAGGCTCAAGTCCTGCTTCTGCCCCTTTTGAGCTGGGCGTCCTCAGGCAAGTGACCTCACCCCTCTGATCTCCATCTCCTCATCTCTAAAATGGGGCCCACAGTGCTAACCTCACAGGAGTGCCTGAGGGTGAAATGAGATTGTATGTGCTAAGGGCTCCTGAAGTGCTGGCTCCCGGGGCAGCGCCCAGGCTGAGGTGAGTAAGGCCCTCCTCCCAGAGGCGCGAGGGGGCCCCAGAAAGCTCAGCAGGAGAGAGAAACGCAATGCTCTTTAGTCCAATGTCTTTTAAAAATCAGAATCGATTCAGAAACGATATCCATGATGAGCAAAATGCCAAAACTGGAAATAAAGACAGAATCGGACCCTGCACGTGGGGACCCTGCATCTCTTGCCTCGCCCTCAGGAGACCCTGCTGGCTAACCTCCCTCACTCAGCCCACCCCGCCCCCCACCCCAGGCCTAATTTAAAGAAAAAAGAAGTTGTTCCCCTGCAGGGAGCCGCTGGAGCCCAGGCCCTGCTCTGCCACCGCGCCACCCTCCCGTCAACAGGACACACGGACACCAACAAGGACCGGGAACCATTCGGCTCGGGAAATTGCACCGAGGGATGGAACCCCATTCAAGGACGGTAATGAGATCCGCTTCATGAAGTTAAGAAGCGTGTGTGTTTGCGTGCGTGCATGCGTGCGTGCGTGCGTGTGTGTGTAGTACACGCACACCCGCATGGGCGCATACACGCGGCAGCGCTGCCTCAGTCTGCGGACCCTCCAGCCTGCTGAGCTCTGCAGAGCACGGGACCAGGGCCCGTCCGTGACTCAGGAACACCCTTCAGCTGGTCCTGGGCACCAATGTGGTTCGTTCTGTAGAACCAACCCCCCCCCCCCCAACCCGGATCCAGGCTCCAAGCGAGAACCTGGATGTTCATTCAGGCCAGTGTTCAAGTCCACAAAGTTGTCCACAGGAAGAAAGTGGGGTCACAAGGCGAGGCAGACGGCTTACTGGCCTGGCCGGGTGCGGTCCGAATTCCTGAGACGCCCCTCATGGCTCCCTCGAGGGCCTCAGCTGTGAGGCAGGCCCGTCCCCTCTCCAGCCCAGGAGGAGAGGGCGGGCTATTTGCACCCTGGCTGCAAAACCTCCCACCCGCCCCCAACCCCAGGGCTTGCAGCCACACAGACCCTCAGTTAGAGGGAGATTTTGTGCTAGAACTTTCCAGAAGCAGCAGCTTCCCAAACCCACGAGGGCGTCCGACTGAGAAGGATGAAGAGGCCGTCAATTCCCAAGCAGGACGGGAGTACGAGCTTGGAAGGTCCTCTGACAAGGTACACGCGGGAACGTACACGCAGAATATAGTAATGAGCGCAGAGCGGCTGACAGGGACCCGCGGGCTCCTGACTCCAGGTGACAGAGGCTGGAGAGTCAGGGGTGATTTTCTTCATTCCAAGGCCTCAACCCATCTGTCGGGCTGGTCCCCACGACCAGACAGGTTGTCTGCATGGAAGGAAGGGGGGTTAGGGGTCCGTGCTCTCTGCCAGGCATGTGTAGCTGATGTGGGCAGGAAGGGCGGAGACAGCAGGGGCAGTCAGGAGTTCCGGGGGGTGGGGAGGTCAATGACTATGGGCGGGTTCACAGGCTGGTAGTTCACGGTGCACACCGACGCGTTCACGTAGGTGGTCGTCCCATCGGCCATGACGCCGTACCCTGGAAGGTAAGCACACGCCTGTCAGGGCTGACGGGTAAGGCCAGGACCCAGAGCAGTGAGGGGGTCTAGTGGGGGTGGTCGTCGGAGGGCACTCAGCCACGAGGGCAAACCGTGTCTGGGGCAAGCTACCAAAAGCTACCCAACTTTGCCTCTTCTTCTATAAATAGAGGTGATGACAGACGTTCCTTCCAAGTCTGCTGTGAGGAGCAAATGAGATGACAGTCTATACACAGGGGTCAGCCCAGTGCCTAGAAAGCACCTGGGTAGCGCTCAGTGAGACGCCATCGTGGACATCAGCACCACCATCACCACCACCACCACCACGAGCACCATCACCATGTACTTTCTTCTCTTAGCCTCTGCCCCCATTGTATTCTTTCCCCACCACATCTACCTGATAGACTCCTCCTCATCCTTCAGCTCAGATCACCTCCAAGCCAAAAAGGACATTTCCCCTCCCTGTGTACATTACCCATTCTTTGGAGCCCCCATTTTGCCTATACAGTCATGCAAGGGTACGGTCTGGATCATGCACAACAATTGCCTGATGGCATTCTGTGCCCACAGTAGGGCTGCATTCCACGCCCACAGTAGGGCTGCATTCCACACCCACAGTAGGGCTGCAGGAAATGACAGCCATCATGGTCATCCCACAGCACATGCGTTGTTCATCTCTCTCATGACCTCTCAGATTCTGCCTGTGATGGCTTATCTGCTCCCCAGAAGTCTGTGGGCTCCTCGGGGCCAGGGCAGCTCTGCTCTCTGCTGCGCCTGACAACAGCCTGCAGTGAGTGGCGCTCAGGGAAAGGGCTGGGGCTTATTTGCTTCTGAGCTGGAAAATGCCCTGATGTGCATCAGGCACGCGTGAGGCCCAGCGGCCCGGGCCTAGCACAGACAGAGGTTCTGGAGGCTGGGACACGGCTCCGGGGAAGAACACATCAGCCCCCACGCCCCACGGGAGTCCACGTGCTTTCTGGCCGGGCGGGATGGACAGGGTGGCCTTGGACAGGCGGGATGAGGGCTCGAAGGGAACAGAAGGGAGGGTCAGCCAATCTGATCACTCTGGCTCCGCTGAGGATGGCTGAGGTATAAGGAAAGCCCTGTGCGCAGGGTGCAGGCGTGCGGGCAGCGGGGCCTGGGGCTGACCTCGCCCATCACCTAACGCCCCCCTGCCCACTGCCCCTTAAGGTAAAGTGAACGCACCCCCCCGCCATCCCAACAGTGTGGACACAGCACGTGCCCCCAGCCTCCCAGGGACAAAGCCAGAAAGCCATGTCCCTACATGTAGGGGGTGGAGGTGAGGGGCCACCAGAGTGCCTCAGGCAAGCAAGTGGCCCTCCACAGGCTGTAGGGACGTGGGCGACAAGAGCAGGCTGCCAGCCTTAAGGAGGGTGCGGCGTACCTGCCAAACCTAACACGCCCTCCGTGCCCAAGCCGACGTCCCCTCCTCCACAGAGCCTTCCGCCCATGTCCCCAGGATGGCCCAGGCTGGAAGCCCACTGGCGCCGCAGGGGGTCCAAGTCAGCAGATGACCCGAAGTCCCGCCCGATTGGGCAACCGACTTCCCCACATTGAACGTCCCAGCAGGAGCCGGCTGCCAGCCACTGCCCAGATGACGCGTTCATGTCGGAAACAGCTGAGACCAGGGAGGAGGTGACGGAGTTGAAGGGGGATGAGGTGCCCCTCCCCCACCCCCCACCGACCTTCGTGGATGTGGCCGAAGACGTGCAGCCGCGGCTGGACGCGCCTCTGCACCGTGTTGAGCAGCTCCACGCAGCCCACCCGCTGCATCTTCTTGGGGACCCAGTCCAGGAAGCCTGAGCAGGGAGACAACTGGAGGCAATGATGGGGTCCTGGTGGCCAGGCACCCCGGGCCCGCAGACATAGGCTCCTGCACTCACAGAGCCAGGCATAACTCCCCCCTCCCTCCCCTGCAAGCTCTCCCGAGCCCACCCTACCTTGACCTTCAGGGAGGGAATGCGGGCTCTACCTGGGGCCTTGCCTTGCCTTCCTCCTCCGCGGAGCACCCAGAGTGGGCCAGGCACAGAGGGAGGGTGGGAAGGGAGCCCCCCGCCACACCTCCCGCTCACAGCGGCCTCAAGGGTGCCATCCACCCATTACAGAGCTAAGCAAACTGAGGCCTGAAAGGGACAGGTGAGGCCCCAGGGCCCCCCCCCGCCCCCCCCCCCCTCTCCCCGGCTGGCAGCAGAGCAGAACCAGAGCGGAAACGCTTCAAACAAACATCACAGTCATGAAAGCGAACTCCATGCAACGCAGCCTGGCTCGGGCGGCGGAGTCTGGGTCTGCTCGCTCCGCCAGCCTCCCGGAGCCGCTCCATATGGCGGCTGCTTAGTACCCTCACATGGCTACACAAACGAAGAATAATTGATTACTCCCAGCCAGCGGCTAGGGCTCGTCTTGGCCCCTCTCGGTTTGGGTGAAACAAGTTTCTGCATGTGGGAAGGGGACGGGGGAATCCTCCGAGTCCCGAATCAGGCAGGCGGCACCTGACGCTGCCTGGGGGATGACAGAGGGAGGGAGGGACAGGGACAGAGAGGGAGGGAGGGAGGAAGAGAGAGGGGCCAGAGGAGGGAGAGACAGAGAAAGGGAGAGGAAAGGAGCGAGGGAGGGAGAGAGAGACAGAAAGAGAGAGAGACACAGGGAGGGAGGGAAGGGTGCCTCCGGCTTGACCATTCTGTGCCCCTCTACCCCGGAAGCGAGCACGCCTAGGCTGGCCCATTGTCGGGGACCCCCCGCCCCGACCCCACTCAGGAGTGAGGGCAGGTTCTGCGGAGGCTGCGGGAGGAAGAGGAGGCTCGTAGGGTCTGGGCTGCTGCGAGTCTGGACAGCATTCTGAGGACGAGGGGAGCTATGAAGGGTTGTACAGGGATGTGGCGTCGCTGCGGATTCAGAGAACTCCCTGCTGCTGCGGGGAGGTGAGTGGAGCGGAAGGGGCAAGACTCGGGGGCTGGGGGACCAGCGGGGAGGCCGTGGCAGTCATCAAAGGGCCAGAAGATGCTGGCCTGGACCCAGGTGGGGACAGCAGTGGTGGAGGGGAGAGGAAGGAGGTGGGATCGGAGGGACATGCAGATGGACAGGAAGTGTGTGTGAGGAGGGGGACCGGAGGCCTGAGAAGGCCCCTCGTGGGGCAGCCAGGGGGCCCCAGAGGTGGTCAGCAGACACACACAGGGCCAGGAGAGAAGGTGAGTGGTGACATCAGCTCGGACCAGGGCGGTGGCAGTGGGGGCCAGGGAGGGGGCTGTTGAGGGTAGAACCCTCAGGCCCTGGAGACAGTTGGGCCAGATGGGGGCGAGGTCCCCCAGGTGTCTGATGGGGTAAGGGGTGCACAGGATGAAGCCTAGAGAGTGACCTTGAAGGTATCCGGGCCCCAGGATGCAGGCCTGGAGAGTCAAGGGCTCAGCCCTGCCTTCTGACCTCCCTGAGCTGCAATGAGCCCTGTGTGTAAACGGGGCAGCGATTCTGACCTCCCTGAATGGCTATGCGGAGCCCACGAGGTGACAAGTTGAACGCCCAGCATGCAGTAGGTGCTTGGGAAATAAGGGGGGCATTGGGGGGAATCGTGTCCAGTGCCACGGCAGGTCAGACTCAGAACAGACCTCACCCAGGGTTCCTCTAGACAGCCCGGCTCATCTCAGTGCACAGGCCAGACCATACCCCGGCCCTCAACAACCACACGCTCTGCGTCCGCTGGCCAGGCCAGCCAAGGAGGGGACAGCTCGCTCTTACCCAGTGGCGGTCCGTGGGTTATCAGTATGTCTACGCCTTCGGGAATGAGGTTCCATTTCTCGAGCAGCGCCTGGCCTCGCGGGAGGTTAAAGCCCCAGCCATAAAACCAGGGCTGCCTATGGAAGAAAAGCAGGTGGTTCAGAGGGGACCACTGAGCATGTGGGGCAATCATGGGAAGGCTCCACATGGTCATCAGGGCTGGCTCGATGCTAGAAACTCAGAGTGAGGTAGGGACTGCCTATACTTAGCCAGAATCCTGACCAGCTCATGGGCTGTGGGACATCACGGGCATTCTCTTCCCTTTTCCCTACTTTCAACAGTTTCTGGTTTTCTATGATGAATAAATGTTATTTATGCAATTTTTAAAAGTGAAAGTTTAAAAAGAATCAGCATTTGCCAAAGGGCTCTCTTGCTCCAAGCCCTTCTGAGGAAATTCACAGAGAACACACACACCCACCCCTCATGGGGAAAATGCTCCTCAGTCTCCCTGCCCACAGTTGGGGCAGAGGGAGACTCAACCCAGAGAGAATAGGTTCTGAGTGGAAGACACCCATTCCTGCTTTCCCCTGAAGCTCCCAGCCAGGCTGAGTCCATCCCAGCCCTAAGGACGGGGCCAGAGGGACCTCGACCAATTAAGGGAATCTCAACATCACACGTAGACTGAGCAGTACAAGTCATTCCCTTTGACTGGCTCAATGGTGAACTCTAATCTAGATCCTTCCCCGTGGAGGAAGTCCCAGGTATTTCTTTCAATGATGACAGAAGAGGATGTGGTCATCCCTGCATATCAGCCAGTGAGCTTCTTGCCTCGGAAGCTGTCAGTAGCTATTAAGCTGTCCCAAAGGGCGATGGCTGGGCCACAGGGCCCAGGGGAGTCTGCCAGGTCAAATTCACACCAGACACCCACCAAACCGCCCCATTTCTCAATTATATGGGCCAATAGGGAGCCATTTGATTGGGCTTTTATATCTAACAAAAGCATCCCTACTAAGAAACATCCCTGAAGCGTAAGTCTTTGTAAGAGCCCACATTAACATAGTCCTTTAGTGTTCACGAAGTTATCATCATCACCATCACCACCATCACCACCACTACCACCACCATCACCATGACCACCACCATCACCATGACTACCACCATCACCACCACCATCACCACCACCATCATCATCACCATCACCACCACCACCACCACCATCATCACCATCACCACCACCACCATCACCATCATCACCACCATCATCACCACCACCACCACCACCATCATCATCATCACCATCATCATCATCACCACCACCATCATCATCACCACCATCACCACCATCATCACCACCACCATCATCATCACCACCACCACCACCACCACCACCATCATCACCATCACCACCACCACCATCACCATCATCACCACCATCATCACCACCACCACCACCACCATCATCATCATCACCACCACCACCATCACCATCATCACCACCATCATCACCACCACCACCACCACCATCATCATCATCACCATCATCATCATCACCACCACCATCATCATCACCACCATCACCACCATCATCACCACCACCATCATCATCACCACCATCATCACCATCACCACCACCACCACCACCACCATCACCACCACCACCACCACCACCACCACCACCACCACCACCACCACCATCATCACCACCACCATCACCACCACCACCACCACCACCACCATCACCACCACCACCATCACCACCATCACCATCACCACCACCACCACCATCATCATCACCACCATCATCACCATCACCATCACCACCACCACCATCACCACCACCATCACTGCCATCAACACTATCACCATCACTGTCACCACCACCATCACCACCATCACTATCACCACAGTTATGGGCCAAACTGTCCTCCAAGAATACATACTGAAGTATTAAGCCCCAGTGCCTGAGGATGTGACCTTATTCAGAAATAGGGTCCTTGCAGATATCATCAAGTTAAGATGAGGTGATACCAGATTAGGGCATGCCCCAAATCTAATGACCAGTGGCCTTATAAGGTCATGTGAAAACAGAGACACAAAGAGAAAAGGGCCACCGACAAGGGACACAGGGATTAGAACAATGCTCTCTGCAGGCTAAGGAGCGCCGAGCACTGCAAGCCACCCCCAGAAGCTGGGAGAGGAACACGGGACAGATTCTTCCTCAGGCCCCTCAAAATGAACAAACCTTGGTGACACTTTGATCTCAGACTCCAGCCTCCGGACTGTGAGAGAGCAAATTCCTGTTGTTTAAAGTGCCCCACCCCTGAGTCTGGGGTGATTAGCTCTGCGGCCCCAGGACATTGATACAGCCATCATCACCATCAATGTCATCACCGCCACCACCTCCCCACCTGTTACCCCAGCAACTTTCACGCCTGCAGTAGGCAGATAGGTCTCTTTCTGTTTTATGGGTGAGGAAACTGAGAAGAAGGAAGCAGGAAATAGAAATCGTCACCTGCACTTCCTGGATACCTACATTTTGCCAGGTGCCATCTAAGTACATCACAGGGATGGTTTACCTGTTATAAGACCCCTGGGAATTAAGGACTATAGAGGATCCCCATTTTACAGATGAGAAACCAGGGGCTTGGAGAGGCAGGCTAGCCGGGCATGTGCTGACTCCTGGGCCAGGCGCCTCACTACCACTCACCTGCCAGCACAAACCATATAAGGTGAAGCTGGGCTTTCAACTCCAAATCTCTCATGTGCCCAAAGCCGCCACCAAAATCCCTCTCGTGGCGCAGAGGCCCTTCCGTGGCAAGACTGAGACCGCTGGCGGTGGACCCAACAGCTCTGCCTTTTGGCAACCCTCCAAAGCACTTGTTGGGAACCCTGGGGTTCTCAAGGAACACAGTCTGAAAACCCTGATTTGTTCACAGCAGGTTCTGGACAAGGAGACTGAGGTGCAGTGAGGGGCAGTGACGTGCCCGGGGTCACGCAGCTCATGAGTGGAGACGCCGGATCCGATACTCTCTGCTCTCAGCCTTCAAGCTTCCAATGGCATCTTCTGGAACATGCGTTTGTGAAAGATGGGTGAGCAGAGTGGTCATGTGGGGGTCAAAGTCCCTCTTGCATTTCCAGCACATGCAGGAGGCCCTCCACTGCCAGCCCTGCCCATCTAGGGCTCCCGCTCCCTTCTCTTCTCCTCCTGCCCATCCCTGACCTCGAGCCACGCTTACCTGTCAAAGCCCTGCTTCCTCCAACCTTCCTCTTACCTTGCACACCTGGGACCAGCCCAGGGGAAGGGAATAAAGGACAGGGTAACAAATGGCATTGAGTGAGGCCCAAAGGAAGAGATCAATCTGTTAATCGATGTTAAATAGGGCTTTTCCTATTGCTGTGGGATTGCAGCCGAAGCTTCAAAGCTGAAAATGATGCCCCCTATTCGAACAGCAGCCCCCAGGTGCTGCCCAGAAAAACCCACTAAAAGCCGGTGGAACACACCAGGCCACCATCTCCCCAAGCCCCCGTCAGCCTAAGTTTTGGCCTTGAAGAAAAGGGCTATGGCTCCTGCCTTGTTCTTGTAGGGGGAGTGGGGGCGGGGGTTCAGGATGAATGGGCCCCAGGAGAACCACCTGTATGGGGGGCGGGGCCTGGGATCTGCACTCTGAGCCTGAGGAGAAATAGATGGTGAGAAGCAGGCACAGAAGGGACTGCGTGTGTCCCCAGGTTTGGGGTGTCCGAGGGATCCCCAACCGTAGGGAGCACCTGCCAGGTGACAAGACCAGGGCTGGGGAATCGATCTGGGTGGGTTGGCCTTGGGGACAGTCCCCACAGAAGACACCTCCCATCAATGGCACATCCACACAGGCCTGCCCTGGCACATCCGCACGAAGGCGAGAGCTCTCTCCACAGAAGATGCACCCCTGCATGTACACAATTTTATACCCAACTTCAAGGCAATCCTGGGGTCAGACAGACCTGAGTGAGAATGGGTCCACCTCTTACTACCTCTGTGACCTTTGGACAGTGACTCAACTCTTCTCTATGTCTTAATTTCCCCATCTGTTCATGGGAATAATAATACCATCTCAACAGAGCAGTTTGGAAGGAGTAAATTGGTTAATCCACATAAAAGTGCTTAAAACAATGTCTAGTTCAATGCACTGGAGCTGCCATCATCATCCCCATCATCATCCCCACCATCATCCCCACCGTCCCCACCATCGTCCCCACCATCGTCCCCATCATCGTCCCCACTGTCGTCCCCACCGTCATCCCCACCATCATCCCCACCATCGTCCCCACCGTCCCCACCATCGTCCCCACCATCGTCCCCATCGTCGTCCCCACCGTCGTCCCCACCGTCGTCCTCACTGTCATCCCCACCATCATCCCCATCATCCCCACCGTCGTCCCCACCGTCGTCCCCACCATCATCCCCATCCCCATCCCCATCATTATTGTGGGCCGTCCTGAAACCCACCCATGGAGCCGACATGAAAAACCTTTGACCTAGGGCTAGGTTTTTCAAACTGCATTTTGATGAGTCCCAACATTTTTTTTTAAAAAAAGAAAAGAAAACATCACAGAAAAAGGGGCCTCCTAGCTGGGAAAGGATACCTCAGTTAAATATATTTATATTTAAATAGACACCCACGTACGGATGTACTGAATCACAATGTAAATGCTTCTCCTACCACGGTCCCTGGCCCCAACGGGTGACAGTCCCGCTCCGGCGACCAGCCCAGGCTGCTCCCACCCTAAAAGCTGGGCTTTTCCGAGACCCTCGAACCCCGAGCAAACTCCAGGCCCTGCTCTGGCCGCACCAGGGTTCAGTCGCAGCAGGGAAGGCAGCGGCATTCTGGAAGCCCCTCCGGAAGCCCAGCCTAGCCGTCCTGCCAGGACCCGAGGCCCCGTCAGCCTCCGGGGAAAGGAGCAGCGTCCAAATACGGGATCCATTCTTCAAAAATCTAATCAAATATTTACAAGATGGGACGAGGCCTCATCTGCATGGAGAGAAGGCATCTGTTCGTTCCTGTGAGCCCCAGCAAGGGGTGGCTTTTTGAAAGAGACACTTAGAAATATATCAGAGACCCCACAGACCCCCAGAAGCCAACGCGCGCATGCCTCCGCCGGC